TTTTAAGTTCTATGAGCACTTGAATGGTAGTTTGTCTTTAAGAATACTTAATTTTAAAGTTGTGAAGGCAGTCTAAAGACTATTTTGGATTTAATAATCCTATTTTAATAGTCTTTTAAATCGGAGTAAACTTGTAGAGGCACTTAAATAACATACGGGAAACAATTCACGAAGTAATGGTTTCTGAATTGGTCAATAGTGGTAATTACTCGTACCTTTGCAATTTCTTTGACTTTTTATAACGAGTTAGTAGGATAACTCACTAAAAACCTTTCCATGGGCCCTTGGCCCAGTTAAGACTTCTCTGGTTTAGACAAGGCAGTACAGCAGTCCTAATTCTAGCTCCATTGCACTTCCCCACCCCCAGGGGAGGGGTGTAAGTCAGTGACTGCTAAGCCTGGGACCATTATTCAGCTACTCAAGTTCCTTGCTTCCCTTGGGATCTTAAATTCCATCTCATGGCTGCTGTGGCCAAGACCACTGTTAACTGTCACATCACTGATCGGTTCTTCCTTAATAATGAGTAGGGGCTCTGGCAGAGTGCCTCCCCTATTGAGTTTGTCCACCATCTCAATCAGGTTTGTCCTTCAAGCACCACAGAAATCTCCTGGGTTGGTTGTGTGCTACCATTTTGCATTTCCAGCAGACGTCAGGGTGACTGATATTTTTCATGAGAGCTAAAGCCTGTGATTGTGCAGCATTTTTTCTTGGTTATTTTGAAGGCTTCATCTACTTACCCTTGATTGGGCAGTCTGTAACAGGTGTTCACCATGATGTTCCCCTGGTTGAATCCTGACCCATGGATTTTCAACTGTCCTGTAGCCTGTTCCATACTAAAGCTCCATTTGTTGAAGTTCTGTGTATAAAGTGTAAATGCTATCCTTGACTTTCTCACTTCTCCTTTCTTAAAGCCAGTATCCATCCACTGCAGTTGTCCAGTTGCGTGAACCGTCTCACCATACTGCACACTCCCAGTGAGATTTTTATGCACTCTGGTTTCTAATCCCTTCTGTTTGTTTCCTGTGCTGAATGCATTCATATACAGCTACTTAAGACGTGTCCCTGCTTATGCCACTTTTTCAGGGGGATGGTAAGATCCTTACTATTTGTTGTTCTGTGCATTTACCCTCTCTGCCCTTCTACTTTCTAGGCTTCAGTCTCCACTTCCCTGGCAAACCTAGTTTGAAGCCGTCCTTATGAGGCAAGTGTGTTGGCAATGATGATTTGCGTTATCAAATGGATCCTGTCTCTCAAGCACTCTTTGTTTCTCTGAGGGTCTCAATGTCTTAAGAGCTGAAGTCCTGCCTGCAGCCATGTAGTCAGATGCTGATCCACTGGATGTGTTTGCTCCTGTCAAAGCCTTTCCCCTGGATCAACACCTGGGCTCTGGTGTCATTCACCATTGTCCCTGGACTCCTATAGTTAGCTTTGATCTGCTGAAGATCTCCTTTGGCAGTACGATGGTGGCCATGTAGATGGACAACAAAGGATAATATTGCAATGGCCAGGTGAGCTGTAAGAGTTTCTCTGCAACATTTCAGATTTGGACCATGGGCAAACAGCAGAGCTTTTAAGAGCCAGTCTGGCTGCTGTGCAGAGGCCTTTATCCACTTGGGAGTCTGCAATTGCTGTCACCTATTGCTTCTTTCTAGTGGCACTGGCTGTGACCCATGAATCAGGTTTAGATGCCACACCTGACAGAGCTTGTTCCTCCTCACCTCTTTGCTGGACTGTGTGCCTTTTCAGCACCTGAATGGCCTCTGATGGGAAAAAGAGAGCCCTGTTCCTGTTGCTGGAGGTCACAACTTCCCTCCTGAGAGTCATCCTTGCCCTGAGTAAGGAAAGCAATAGATTTGGTAGAGGGTGGTTGTGGGGTGGGGGGAGAGTTAATGTAGGGAAAAGAACTGTTCGCAACTTTGTTCAGGAAAGCAAACTGTGGAAGCTTTTAACTGTATCATAAATTTCTGCTTATTAAGGCTGTTGGAGGAACCTGACGTGGATCATAAAGGGTGTCAGGTAGTGAAGAAAGCTGATACTCTTTACATGAAGACACAAGAAGACAAGTAACAGAAGAAATTTATTAGGGGTAAAGGCAGTTTGACAGATTGGGGTATTGAAAGTTAATAAAGCCAACAGTGTTTCTGTTCAGTTTGGAGCTAGAAAGTGTCAGGGCTCAAGTAACAGTAGTTAGAAAGGTAGTTTAGAATCAAGGAGGCAATCGGCCAGCAAGAGACACAAAATTCTGTGGAATTAATTTAAAGTAGGGGTTTTTTGTTTGGGGTTTTTTTTTTTATTATTGGTGAATCACAAGAGGTATAAGCAAAGTATATTTCTGACTGGTATCTGTAGGCTCTTCAGGTTCTGAAGAGTTCCATACTGTCTCATGAAGTAAAACAAAGATTTATTGATATGCCTGTGTTTGGGTGGTTACATTTTATGAAACAGTGCCAGCACATACTCATCAGTAGCTGTACTGGAAACTCAGATGTATCTTCCTGTTTAGGGTAAACTTAATCCTGCTGAAAAGCAGCACAGGACTTTGTAGGAAACTGCACAAAGTGGAAGTAGTACACATCTTTTCTGGGAAGACTTTAGAAGAAAGGCTGGAAAAAGATTCTATGTTGTTAGGTTGTACAAGTAAGCTTTCTTTTTAAAAGAAAGGATCCAGTATCCAAAGCTGAGGAAGCAAATTATCACATTGAGTAAGTCTAAACTGTGGCTCCATGGAGAAGTTCTGGGAGGACTTGCAAGAGAAGCATTGCTTTGGTCGGGTGAAATGGAACTAAGTTTGGCGAACTAGTGGAGAAGCGGGTTGGTGTGTCCTTTGCTCAGGAAAAAAAAACCACGTTGTGCTAATTGCCATCTTTAATACAAGCTGTATAGAAGTCTATTTGGAAATTGCATTCTTCCTTAACTAACTGCTGTTTCACAGAGCTAGTTTTTCTGTGCTCATGGTTCTGCATAGGCAGGAGCAGGCAGTAGGGCAAGCAGATGTGTAAGGCAGAAAAAAGTAATGCCCTCCACACGCTGGGGAGAGGGGGGAGAAGGTAGGTATCCAAAAAACAAAGAGGTTTTGGGTGCTGACTGGCATGCTGGTGCTGACAGGAACAAGCTTCCTGTTATTTGATTTACAAAGTGCTAAGAAATGGGAGTTAGAGTTTGTTCTTTTGGAATAAGTACAACTGTTTCCAAGAGATACTTCACTCCATTCACGTCTTTACCTGGTGACAATAACTTGCAAGAACTTAAGTATTGCCTAGGTTCTGAGCTAAAGTGGCTTGCAGTTTATAACATCAATTATCATAATAATACACGTAGCATGTTTTATATCTCCAGACTGCTGTGTTGGGGAATTGCTACCTTAACTTCAGACTTCTTCATCTCTCTTGCTTTTTTTTTTTGTCCATAACCCTTTGAAGCCAGAAGAACTGGGAATTTGTGCAATGCTAGTATGATGTGAATTTATATTACATTGAATCTAAGAGTTGGTGGATAATGCTTTGAGGTAATTTTTAGCGTATGCCTGGGCTTTGGATTTTTGCTTTCCAGTTTTTGCAGACTGTGTTTAAAAAGTGTGTGTGTGTGTATATATATACATTTGTGAGAGGGCAGTGGGTTTATCACTTAATCTGTGTTCTTGCATGGGACTATATTTATTACAAAGAAAAGTGGAAAATTAAAAAAGAAATAAATACAGTTATAGCTCAAATCAGAGATTTATAGAAGGTATAATTATAATCAATTTAATTTAATAATATAAATATATTAAAATTATAAAATAATACAAAATTGAAGGTAAATTTTAAAGAGATGTGACCTGTCAAGCTGAACAGCTCCTGTGTGTTAAGGTCTTCTCTTGTCTATGTTACGATTTTAATATATTGTTTAACGTGCTACTTAAGATATGGTACATATTTATTCTTCCTTATACTAGTACACATACAATCTAAACCAAAAAGTAAATGTCACTTTTGATGAGAGAGCAGAATATTGTGTTGTCTTAGAGGGTATCACAGCTGATGAGCAAATTTTATGATTTAAATGTTCTTTGTTGATGGTAGGTAGTTGTTTCCTGAAGATATTGGTATCTTTTATGTGGTGCGATGATAAAATAGTCTTGCAAAGTACTGCAAAATAGCTACATCTTTAATATAGACAGGTCATGAGTATGAAGAATGAGCACCTTCAAATACTGCTTTGAATTATCCTCTTAGTTGAAAATAAGCTTATTATTTGGAAGGAGAAAAGAGGGGGCACTTGGAAACAGTTTCTATATTGAATGAAACTTCTGTTATATTGATGATGGTGGTGTAAATTCTCACCCTATTTCACCAGTTGTCATGCATCTCCTCTTCTGGTTTTTTGTTGGGGTTTTTTTTTAATCGTTTGGTTTGCTCTATGTCTGTTCTCCCTTGTTACTCTATGTGATTTTACCAAATACCTAAACAGACTAGCCAGTAAATCTGGAAAATAATTGGATTTATCTAATCCTCAATTTTAAAACATTTTTGTACAGATACAGAGGACTAGAGAGAACCATTATGGTATCAAAAGCAAAATAAGCTTGCTTTCTTATATTTGTAGAAATATGAGCCTACTCAGATTATGTAATTTCAGGTGATCATAAATGAGAAGTTTCTGATTTTGAATGTTTCCTACTTTTTCTTCCCCCCCCTTCCATACATGATTCTAATTCTCAGTGTGAGAGACTGCTTCACTTGTGTAGAGCTATGAAGCTAATCCTCCCACCTTTAAGATTGTGGTAGTTATTTTAAGTCTAATGAGGTTGTTGGGGCATGGCTTAATAGGCTGATTGTGTGCAGATGGCAGTTGTCTTATTTTTATCTTCTAATTCTGTTCAATAGTACTACAGTGGAAGGAGTAAATATTTGTGTGATAAATGTAACAATTTTTGGAATTGCTCTCAGAATTAGAGAATACTTAGCGCCAGTGTTCTTGAATTTGCTTTCTTTTGAGAAACTTTTGATTTACTGTTTTAAATGTTTCTTTTGTCTCCAGGTTTTGAAAGTATTTTAGAAGGGCTTTATGGACCAAGGCTACGAAGAGACCTCAGTTTATTTGAAGGTAAATGAGCCAGCTTTTAGTGCAATGACCTTAATTTATTAGTTTTTCTTTTAGTTAGAAGTAAAGTATATATTGAATTCTAAAAAGGAAATCTTCAATTGTTTTTCTTTCTAATGTTTATTTCATCATGTTCTTGTCAATACTGTGCATAGTCAAAACACTAGGTAAAATGGTACATAGGTTTTCTTTCTATGTAGGGAAATTTTGGATTAGCTAAGCTTTCCAGAGAAGCTCTCTTGAGAAATATTTACTTTTGGGGAATACTGCATCTCCTACTTCACTTTTTTGACAGCTTTTAGAAAGGGAAAACAAGCTGCTCAGCTTCCTATTGACATTAATTGGGAAAAGGAAGGTAATGAATGCTAGTTTGGTTTTCTTGTAGTGGTCAAGACAGTTTAAGCTTTATATATATTTTTTTAATCTTATATATATAAATTAAGCTTTTTACTTATATGTATTTTTGTATAAATATAAAAAGTGTATTTATATTTCAGAGTGTATGTGTATGTATAGAAGAAGTATATATATTTTCCATTACACTTATAAGACCTAGCCTTATTCCAAATGGGTTTGGTTTTGCTGGAATAGCTGTCAATACCTGAGTCCTTAGTTACTTAAGTATGAAACTATTTATCTGTCTTTAACAAAAGCAGAAGAGGAAAATCAAGCACAAAATTGCTTTGAAGTGTTGAAAGAATTGTTCCATCAAGTTAATTTTCAGGGCTTTAAGATGTTCTTTCTGTTATCGAACCTCCAAAATGTTCCATTTCATTTCTTTACAACTTATTATCTGATAGTGTAGTATGTAAAGCATGTAACTTATATACTGCTAGTACATGAGGCAGAGTGGCATATACTGTTCACGTTTGATTAGAATAGGTTTGGAATGATGGCTTTAACTTGGTTATGGTTTTGTCCTCTTCATATTGTGCAAGTTCCTTGGCCTGTATCATGTGCATATTTTACAATATTTTCAAGGGAAAGGGGGAGAACTTGAAACACTACTGATGTTTTAAGAATATTTTTTTTTTGCCACTTATAAAGCTAAACATACCACTAGTCAGACTTAAAAATATTTAAGAAATGTGTAAATTTGGGTTAAAGCTTATTTTCATGAGTAGTGCTCCCATCTGCTGTGATAAGCAAGCACATTACTGCTTTGAAAAGGGAACAGGGCATTGTTACAGTAGTGTACAGGATCTTTTTTTCTGGCTGTAATTCCAATGGGTTGCTATGTATTGGGCTTTACACTGATAAGTGATTAAAGCTTTGTTATTCTTTTGCATCAAAGGGTTTACATGTTGAAAGAAAATTCAGGACGCTTTTTTTTTTTTTTTTTTTGCTTTTGTGTAAGAAGGCAGAAAGTACCAAGGTAATGACCAGAATAAGTGTTACTGTTAAAGGAGCCTGATAGTACACAACAAGGTGTTATATTGCTTCTTTAGAGTTCCTGCATGCGTATATTTGAGCTGTCTCATGGGAAAAGCTTTAGCTTATTTTGCCTCATGCTGTTGAAGATTTCTTGTAACCTATTTAAGATCTGCTACTTGATTGCTTGCAGAGGACCTTTGATATTTGATGCCCCAGTGACTGTCCTGCAAATTAAATTCATGATTATCTAAAATTTAAGGTTTTAAAACTAATATTTTTCCACTTTGCAAGAATGTCTGTCAGTAATGTGCCTGAATTTTTCAACAGTTAAAGCCTATTTCCATGTTTGACATATCTGATTTTTACTTCTGGAGCAACTGCAGAAGAGATGAAGGGGTGCCCACCTTACCTTACTATTTTTGCTTCTTTTTTATAGATATAGTAACTTCAATAATGCTGTCTGAAATTGCCATGTTTTGTACAAACACAGTAGAGGTAGACCTTCTAGTATAGGATGCAAGGCTGTTTCTAATTTGAGGTCTGAATTGCATTATAAAGATCAATACAGAACTCTTGATTAAAATTTGTTATGAATCTTTCCACTGTCGTAATTTAAGTGCCACTTTTCACTTTACAGGTAATGAAACTAAGATAGAATGTAAATAACTTGCCTTAGGTAACAAAATAGATAGTTGATAGAATCAGAATCGGAACCCAAGTTTTTCAACTCTTAGCAACATCCCTAAATCACTGCGTCTTGTAAGATGTCCATTTTCCTCATCATAACCACTGAACCAGTACTGTCAACATGCAGCATCATGCCTCATTAGCAAGAGTGAATGTTTCCTTGAACAAACCTCAAGAAATTATATGGCTTTTTTATCTAGAATTGTGCCTGAAATACATGCTGCTTAGCTACAATAGCATTTTTTCTCTTACATTGTTGGTTTTATCTATTGTTTGTAACGTAGGAAAAAAATTAATAATGTGCTTAAAATGTAACGTGTGTGTTTAATTGATCTATTGTCTCCTTAGTTCTGTCTTGAAATAGAATTTGATATATAGTTTAAATTATTGTATAGTATTCTCTCAAAGTTGCTTGAGAGAATAATAAATTGTAATGACAAATGTAAATGGTAAAAGATAAACTTCAGTTTTACTAGTTTTTTTTAATTTTCAAAGAAAATACCTTGTAAACCTCAAACTACCTTGCTGAGAAGCCAAACTAATTAAACTGAAGTAGCCACCCATAATAACAAATAGTTACCTGAAGATGGCAAGATTTTTTTTCGCTATCTTGAAATTCTTATATAATGTATAGGTAGGGCTTACCTTAGGCTTGCTTAAATGGTTCACATCACCTCCATTGTTCAGCACCTTTTGTTTTTTTTCTTTTTCTTTTTTCTCTTCTCCCAACTGCTTTGATAGTGCAGCTTCTGGTTGCAAAGGTGTCCAGTTCCATGTCTTGGTGTCTGGCCTTGGTCATGCTCTGAACGAGCTCAAGGCTTTTTGTGTCATTGAATCCTTAGGGCTTTCTAATCCTTTGCTTATACCCATTTTCAGCTAAGTAGATTCACGTGTTGAATGTAAAGAGTAACAATTTACTTACAGATATTTAGCCAAACTGTTAGAAAGCTTTTCCTCTAATCATCTGGTATGTGTGTATTTTCTTTTTTGGGGATTATGTGCTGGGGTTCTAGTCCCTTATGGACAGAGGAAAAACAGTGTCTTGTGGGAGAAAAGCAGCTCTCTTATCATTCTTTCTCTGCCAGGGAAAAAAAAAAACTCTTTATACAGGATGCAAGGTTTATTTAAGGCTGTGTTTTATTTTTCCTTAGGTTGTCTGGAATATTTATTCATGTATAAAGTAATGGAGTGAAAAATTGTATTAGAAACACTGATTTCCTAATATAATTCAAGTTTTTATGAAATTAAAAAGATGAAGAAACATAAACACCTCAGATACTCTAATGTACTTAATAGGAAGCAGTAGTGCCTTATAAAAAGGAAGGGGACGATTTGTGACAAATAGCTGGAAAATTTATTGGGACATTATTATAATAATGCAGAAAATACTGGAAAGTAAGGGTTGAATTTTTTAAGCTATCTCATTTAGATTTACTAGACAACTATTTCACATTTTAAGAGATAAATATGGAATCTGTTCAGTACTGCAGATGTCTGTATTTGTTTAATTCAGCATGACTCCTTGGGAAAAATGGTTTGGGGAAACAAAGATTTGAATAGCTTAAGAAATGAAAAAAGGTAGTATTTTTTTGTCAAAGTTCACCATTTTTTTTCCTAAAAACTTGAAATAGATTTAACAGCTTTGTACTAAGTGACTTAGGTTTCAAGTAATCTGTACCATGCTTTGTATTAAAATGCTCTTTGCACAATCATAACAACTTTTTCTCATGGGCTGGCTAGTGTTGTCGGTTGTCAGCAAATCTTTCATCAACTGACCCCAAGCAAGATAAAATGGGGAGGGGAGATGATCATGATCCTAAATTGAATGCAGCTAAGAGAAAGTTTGTTCTGCTTAAAGTGCCGTCTGTGCCTCTGATCTTTCTGAGATAATGGTTGTGTCTATCTGTAGTTAAAAACTAATACTGATCTCAGTATGTTTCCTGTGGTGGTGACCTGAGACTGTTGGATGCCTGGCATTTGATATATGTGGTATACATCTGCTATCTGATGGTAGTTTTGCTTAGCTCACTGGCGTGCTTAATGTGTTATGCTGTACATAGCTTGTACTTCTTTGAATAAATTTAGTGTTATGTAGAGCTGATGTTTCTCAAGGTTTGTTTTTTTGGCAACACACAAGAATTGCTCTCTAGACTTTTAATAGTGGAACTTCAGGATTCCAAGGCAGAAGAATTTCTCTGAAAATACAAAACCTGTCTTGTAGTTACACGCAGAATCGCAACATCCATAAGTAAATTTATTGTGGTTGCAAGGAAAATTATGAAAACATGAACTTGTTATGAAAGAATAGTGTGGGGTTTTTCATCTGTGGACATCTTAAAGGAATAGCTCTAACAGGCTGGGACAACTACATTAATTCAGCAAGAATAACTCATTATCTTCTGTTACTGTCCAGTCAAGAAAAATCCAGTGTCTGTTTTTGTTCATCAGCTGTCCGACTTGTCAAAACTGCTGGTTTGCATCCCTGGAAGCATATAACATGTTAATGCAGAATCCTGTTCTAAATTAGTATTTTAGAGCTGAGTAAACTAGATTTAAATAATAATACAGTGTCACTTGGTTTATGTTTGCACTCAAATCCGAAAAAATTAGGTTCTTATTTCTGGTAGTGCCTCTGTGGTAATATATTTAAGAAAGAGTAAAAGCTCAGCAGCTGGGGGCATGGGGGAGGAGGGGAGTGGGAAACAACCCTGCAGATGGCAAGGTCCGAGAAGGGAGAGGGGAGAGGAGGTGCTGTGGGCACCAGAGCAGAGATTCCCCTGCAGCCCATGGAGAGGACCATGGTGAAGCAGGTAGAACCTGCAGCCTGTAGAGGACCATGTCAGACAGATATCCACACTGCAGTCCATGAAGGACCCCATGCTGGAGCAGGTGGAGATGCCCTGAAGGAAGCTACAGTCCGTGGAGAGGCCATGCTGGAGCAGGCTCCTGGCAGAAAGTGTGTCCCGTGGAGAGGAGCTGATGCAGGAGCGGGATTTCTGGCAGAAACTGTGGGCCTGTGGAGCGGTCCCTTCCTGAAGTACTGTGTCCCATGGAAAAGATACATGCTAGGGCAGTTCATGAAGGCCTGGATCCTGTGGGAAGGACCCCACAATGGAGCAGGAGAAAAATGTGAGGAAGGAAGAGGCAGAGAAGAACTGTTGTGAACTGAGGACAGCCCCTGTTCCCCATCCTCCTTGTGCTGTTTGGGGTGGGAGAGGAGGTACAAGAGTCAGGAATGAAGGAGTGAAGTTGAAGCCTGGGAAGAAGGGGTGTAAGGTGGTTTTAGTTTTGCCTTTCTTGTTATTTTTATTGGCAATAAATGAAATTAATTTTCCCCAAGTTGAGTCTGGCTTGCCTGTGACAGTAATTGGTAATGATATCCCTGTCTCTATCCTGACCCACAAGTTTTTCCATCTTATTTTCTCCCCCTGCCCTGTTGAGGAGGGGGAGTGAGAAGATGACTGGGTGGTGGTTGGCAACCAGCCATGGTCAACCTACCACAGAGCGTTATTGAAAGCAGATAATCTCAAGAACCTCCCTAACAGAACTGTGATTGTAACTTAGTGTTACAGAGACAAGGAGGAAACATATTTGGTAATTAATAAGGAGGGAAATAAGTTGTTTAGGGTGTAAGCACATGAACTGGAAATGAATGGGATGGAGAGGACCTTGGTGTTGTAATTAATCAGGTTCGTATTCACCTGTGATACTCATGTGCAACTAGGATAGTGTAGGAAGAGTACTGTCTACAGATTAAGGAAGTCTAGTGTAAATGTAAAAGAAAGGCATCATCTTGAGATCTTGGTCAGCTGTGTTCTGGAAACAGTTGTTCAAGTGAGAATGGTGCGGAGAAGATAGGGTTGACTCATGAGAGAAAACTGGGCGGACTAGATTAGCCTAGCAAAATGAAGCGTAAAGGGGGGATAATGATAATCTTCTCTGTAAATACATCAAAGTGCTAACTACCTAAACAGTTACTGTTCATGGGTATAAGAACAATGTTGCCACAAAAGCAAACTGGAATAACTTGCTGTCACTAAATTTAAACAAGAAATGAGAAGGTTAATTTTAACTATTAGCACAGTTGGTTTGGGAAAAGCTTTAAAGCAATTGGTGGTTTGGGAAGAGAAAGGTATGCGGTGGAAAACTCTTTAACTTTTAAAATGGAGTTTAATAACTTGTTTAAAGAACACAGATGGTGAGTCTCCATTCAGTAGAAGACTGGACTTGATATACGTAATCTGTTTAAGTCCTATATTCCCTCAAGACCAAAGAACATCTTCTGATAAAACATGTAAAGTTAAAGTTTTCCAAATAAATCAAGTGCTACAAGTGCGTATAGTGTTTTGGTTTACCTGTAGTGATGGTATCAAATCAATTAAAATATTGTAAGTACAACATGTGTAGCTCAAATGGTGAGGAGTCCATATCCTAATTCCTAGTTTAGTTTACTACAAGTTTGCACATTTTGTTAAAAGGAACGATGACTGGAGTTCAGAGCTTTATTTACAGTATTCAGATGCCTCCGGTAACTGTTACAGGTAATCAGTTGAAATGCATGAGTTTACCTTTCCTTTTAAGAAAGGTGCCTTCTGCTATTTGCAGGTTGAGCCACGTGAGACAGACAAGACTTGGGAAATATCTGAAAAATTGATTACTGCTGACTACGTTGTACCAATAAATGCATATTGGATTATGATGGAGTTTATTTAAGAGAATTATAGGATGTGTATCTTGTTCTCAAAATTCATTTTTACTTGTTTAAAACATCTAGCTTTTTTTCTTCTTTTAAGACTGTGAGCCAGAAGAGCTAACTGACTGGTCTATGGATGAGAAATGTTCCTTTTGTAACTTACACAAAGAAGCAGTCAGTGTAAGTATGAACATGATACTCAAGCATGACTCCCCTCAACACCCAATTTTTGGTATGAAAGTAAGAATGGGAGAACTGCATTTTGCCAATAGGTTAATACTTCATTTTGACTCAAGATAGTTTGGCTCAGAGTGAAGTGTAGAGTGAGTGAAGGCTTTATAGTAAATATCTTTTTAGTGGTTCTTTTTTACTCAATAGCTCTAACTTAATTGTGTATTGTACTGCCAGTAGACTGACTTCTGAAAGATGTTACATTCTTCATATGTCTTCTTCTAGGATCGTGCATCAGTTATTGGTTCTTCACAGTCAACGCCTACAGAGGAACTGTCATCTCAGGGCCAGTCCAACACTGATAAGATTGAATGCCAAGCAGAAAACTATCTAAATGCACTCTTTCGAAAGAAAGGTAATAAAAGCATGTCTTTTATATCAAGAGATATGACACAAATCTAGAAGAATCAAGTGATTTAGGGTTGATTTTGATTCTTAAGTAGGCTTTATTTATCTACTGAATGCTGTTTTTCTTCTTTATTCCTTTGATTTTCCTTAATCTTTTTCTTTGCTAACTTGAATCACCAAATGAAGCACCATTCTTCCTACTGGCCATTGCTGTTAGTCCTGTTGCATTGTGTGGTACACTCTTGAATCCCTGTTCATTATGTATTTTTATCTTTTTTTATAATGAGCTGCTAATTTTTTTCATGCCAATTTCAGGTGTAATTCTCTGGAATTCTAAGCATTTAAACATTTTTTTGTTCCTAAACTTTCATTTCTAGTTTTCAGCAGGAAGACTGTTTTAGGTGAGAGAATGTCTTACAGATTACAAAATGGGATTTGGGATCTTCTCACACAAAAGCTGCTACTTCAAATACATCCAAGTCAAAGGTTTAAAATTCTTGTCAAAATATGGTATTTAGTAGCTCGTTGATTCTTTGACTATCCTTGTTCTTTGGCACTCAGCAAGTTATAGCAGTACATGAGTGACTGACAAGTCAGCTTGGTTCATGTGAGTTATTTAGCTAGTCACTGTCAACAGCAGCAAAAATACTCATTTTCTTCCTTAAATTTCTGTGTAAGTAATGTGAATGCAGCACTATTCAGTAACTACAACTTTCTTGGGTTTAGTAGGTGTAATTGGATGTCAAAATAGCTGACTATGACTAGGGTGACAGCCCTCTCTTGCTCTAACAAAGAATTAGAGAGAGTCAGACACATTCTCTTCCTTCACATAAGTGGGAGGAAAAAAACAAATTTAACTTTCTTCCCTTACCTTGCTGTAGCAGGAAGAGATTACTATGCCCTTGAACATGGGGTGAGTGGGATCTTGTGTATGGAGTATCTGTCTGGTCAGCCTACGCTTTGCTTAGGGCTTTAAAGAAGTTTAAATGGAGTGCAACGGCACTTTGAGTCCATCTTCCTTCCTTGGCTTTCTTTAAAACCAACTATCTTCCATTCAAAATAAAATGTCCAGGGAAGTTGCGACCTCATTACTTCTGAAATTCTTATAATATTTTCATTGCAGGCCCAGCCGCATGGCATCTCCCTAGACAGGTATATTAATTCCTTCAAATTTCTGCATTCTCAGATCTTTTTTTTTTCTTGGGTCTTGATGTACAGTGTTTCTCAACATTTGCCTGCTTTATGCTTCTGCTGGAGATGCTGGGTTTTGATACTCCTTGAGAGGAACTTTTTATCATGGGAGAAGTGAAACTTGGCATGACCTCACCTTACCAGAGTGACTTCTGTGAAGTTTTTCACAAAGAGCATTGGCTTTTAACATCTTCCTTAGGTTTTTTTGATCTGCCAGATCAGTAATGCTAGGTTAAAAAGGTTTTGTCTATAGAAAAACAAAACCAAAGTCTTTTTCAGTTGTTCTTGTGATTCTCTGAAGGACTTGTGTATTCCTAGGTAAGAGGTACTTTGCTGAAGAGTTTTCTAAGAATATTACTTCAGTTCAGGTTCCAGCAAAATCTCTTAAGTTGTTCAAATTATGGGAAGTGAAAAGGAAAAAAAATTTTGTATCTGCAAAGGGCATGTGAAACCAATTTATGAGGTATTTAAGTAATTGTCTTGGCTTTGTAGAAGTAAGATGAAGAGTTTTACGAGGAAAATCCCAAGTCTGCTTTCTGAGTTTTTGTAGGTTTTTGAGATCAGTTAGCAACTTAAGAAAAAAGGAATCAAAAAAATGTCAAGTAATTGTTTAGCTAAGGAACAGTTTTTATACCTGGTACTAAAACAGTTTCCCTTTGTCAAAAAAAATGTAAAATTCTTGGCTGGCTGGCTTTAAAATGGAAGTAACACTTGTTTCACTTATTTTGGTTGCAAACTGCTCAAGATCATATGCTGTCTCTTACTATTGTAATTAGCATGGTTTCATTTAGAGCCTCTGAACAACTTCTAAGACTAGTGAGCAAATGGGAAAGTTGCGTTTATTGGTCTCATCCTTTTATTTTAGAACAAGTTAGTATATATCACTGTCTACAGCACACAACCTTCAGGCATTCGTAGATGAGGATTTATCTCTAGAATCTCAGACAAAGATGATTCCGCTTTCCTTTTAAGAGGATGATAGAATTACTGCCAAGATGGGTAAACTCTTGAGAGGCTGTAAGTAACAAAGTCTTCCTATTAGGAGCCTATCTTCACTACATGTTAGCGAAAGACCAGTTTGGTAGGCAGTTGTCTGTAGAAAAGGCCTATCCTCAGCAGACACTTCAGTAAAGCCAAGGTAATTTTTGTCATCAAACATTGATTGTTTCCATTAAACAATGTCTCTGAAACCCAGATGCTTTCTTCCTAAGTATGACATCTCTCTTTACCCATTTGGTGTTGTAGAGTAGCCTGTGATACTTTTCCACTTACATAACATTAAAACACATCCATTTTCTTTCTTCAAAGAAGCAGTTATGAGGAAAAACCATGATGTGCTTTAAAAAATACATATTAGTCTCTTCTGGTTTTTTCCTATGAATACTACAGACTGTGGCATATATGATTATCATTAAAAGGCAGAACTATAGTTGTTTAAGAGCTTAATCACCCATTTTGATCATGCTTTAATAATTTTCTGGGTTTGTAGTGACCCACATTGTATGTTCTTGGAAGCTTTTTTTTAATGTAATATTAATGTGACCTTTTTAAACAAAACCAACAAAATATAAAAGGTTATTTAAATACCTTCACGGTTGTGAATCAGGTTCTATCTGCAGGACATTATCTGCCAGGAGAAGAAGAAACCTGAAAAGCTTTTGTAGAAATTAAGGAATTGAGACACAAGATTAGAGGGAGAAAATGGTCAGGATGACCTGAATCTTTCCAGATTCTCTGAGCAGCTCTGTCAAGTATCCTCAGTGCCGTATTTTCCATACCAAAATAATTTCCCTCTAAGCTTTTTGAAGTTCTTCCTTGTTTCTAGGTATCTGTCTAGCATTCTAAAATATTTCCATTCATAACTATGGCTTTCTTACACCATACCATATACCTTCATTTAACTCTCTGAGTTCTCCTGTTCTTTGCTTAGTTATATCTCAGATACATAGATGTCACGAGCTGGTTATGATTATGGCACAATGTATATGTAATTTGGCAAACCTATGAAAATGTGATCTTGCACACATAATCTCAGACTACAAAAAAGTGTTACTTTCTGAGATGTAGTTTTGCAATGTGGACACTACTTGATCCAATACCTGCAGTTCCTTTTTATTAATAATTTTAAGAAATCTAATTTGTCCTTTCAAAATCTGGAAGGTTTTCTGTAAGAACTGTCGCAGCTTGTGCAGTAAACTTGTATGACATCTTTGCTATCCCTCTTCCTCAAGTTCATCAGGAAAGAATGTTTAGCAGGATTTCAGCTGCTTTCATAAGGAAGTGAAACATACTTTTTGTGTTGACTGCCTGCCTGCCAGTGTTACTGAGTTCTGAATTTCTTGGTAATTTTCAACTACGTTGAAGAAAATCCTTAGAAATATGACTGTATGTAATGAAAATTACCATCTGAGTAGAGGAAGGAAAAACATTGAATGTTTACAAGAACAGAAAACTAGAGTGAACTTCACCCTTATTCCCAATGTTTGTTGACCAGTCAAGTTAACTAAACTAATCATGATACATGGCTCAGAATAAATTGCTGTATTCTGTTTTTAACTTGCTAGTGATCTGACTGAGCTGGACAAGTTTGAGTAGAGCTAAGAATATTGCTGGGACAGTTTGGTGGCTGTTGAGGTAGGGTGGTTCTAGAAAACATGGCCTTTTTGTGAAAAGGGGAGAGCTGGAGTGAATATAGGAAACATGCTGATAGGCAACCAGGTGTTCTTCATTCTGCTACTCACACAAGAGGATTGTAAGGTACAAGGGGGGCTGTGATTCCCTGCTGATTTCCACTGCAGGAAGAGAGAAGAGAAATTAAGTCACTATTGACTTTTTAATGAAAAAACACTGTTTTTCAAGAAATAGAATACTATTGTGAAGCACTATTTTGGGAGCTTTTAACTCCTTGTCCATTGTCCTGCCAAATACATGTGTAAGTTTGAACTATCAGTTAAATCAGTTCTTAGATTGTGCATTGCAGTCTAATGATCACACATAGCGTTAATGTACAGAATAGTTAAGGGTATGGATTTGAATATTTAAATGAGGAAGTCTTAATCCTAAATGTGAGCTTTGAATTAAAATAAATCATTGCAATTAGTCATAATTACACATCGTCTCTATTACTGCCTTCCCTTGCATTCTGACTGTAATCTTGACAATCACAAGAGAGATTATATCACACAAATGTGTCATTTAACCTTCTCTTATCCTAATAATATCAGGAGGTCTACAGTGGTCTGCAAGAAACTAGAGGAACATCAGAGCTGCCTTTTACTCCAAATCCTTAGAGACTGTTCTGCTCGGTTTGAAGTAGTATGTATGTACATACATGTTCCATGGAGTAATTACAGCTGCCTTGTGTTTTAAATCAACTCTGTGAAAAACAGAAGTTTAAACAGATGTAGGCGTGTAGATCTAGAACTTTGTAAGTAGCTATAATCATGACTCCTAATAAAACATCTTAGAATAAAGACTTTTTAGGTCATACAAAGTATATTTGGTGCCATCTGCTGATAACAATTAAGAAATATTTGCCAGTGTTACTAAGCTCAGAGACCTAATACTTTTCTTACCCCAAAATATATTAAATTGCATTTAAAATTTTTATATGGCTAATTACAAATTTCCCATGGGTAGTGAAACCTTTTACCACTGTGAACTTAAAGTTACAGGTCTCTACATGTTTTCAGTGTGTACTTATATAATAATACAGACTTACAGCCATTGAACGTAAGTAATTAGACTTTATATAATACACTTCAAGTGTGTGTACCCTATCCTGATCACTCAGGAGTCTTATACTGATAAAGCATTATATAAAAGTTGCATTTACCCTTAAAAAGTCTATTTTCTTTAAAGAAATGTACAGTTTGTAAAAAGAAAATAGTATATGAAACCATATAACTCTTCTTTTCTTTGAATATATCTAACATCTCTCTCATTTCTGTTCTATGTCCTTTGGAGAGCTGTGGGAAATTATTTCTAACTTAAAAATACTCCAAGTTATTTCTTAATACAATTATTACTTCATAATACAAGTTATGCATCCACAGCTTTATTCTATATTAGGAAGCAAAGTAGTGTTAATAGGAATGGGTCAAGAGCAGCTTGCCAGTACCTCTGAGGAGGTTACTGAGAAGGCAGGGTCAAAATCGTTCCAATGGTGCGTAGCAGGACAATGGAAGATTACAGACAAATTGAAATGAGATGTTCTTTTTTACGTAAGGAAAAATGAGGACAGGCAAGCAGTGGAACAGGCTAATTGGAGAGGTTGTACAGTCTCCATCCATGGAAGTATTCAAGACCTAACTAGATAAAACCCAGAGCAACCTCATTTGATCTCGTAGTCAGCTCTGCTTTGATCAGGCAGTTTTACTAGAGACCTCCCAAGGTCCTTCCAACATGAATTACGATTTAATCACTTACACAATAGAACAGTTGATGTGATAGCAACACTATTTGCATTTATGGCAGTTAAGCTTAGACTAACTGTGTGGTCTAGCCCTGTAGATTGAATTTGCATTAGCAGCAAAAGCACTTCAGATGCACCCCTGGAGCACATCTTCCAGATAATATGCTATGAGATACTTCCCTCCCACCCCAGTATTGCCTTTTTAGAGTAACTTAAAATCTGTTAACTGTCAGTAGCTGTAGCGGTTGAATATGTGAGAAATTTTGCTGCATTTATTCTCCCATAGGGAGTATTTGGAAATTATTAGAAGAAAAAAAAAAATTAAAGAAAATAATATAAGAGAAAAAAAAAAAGTCTTTTGTTATTCCAACTAGGTCAAAAGATGACTTTGCTCCTAATGGAAGAAATAGGCTTCTCCTGCAAGTGTCTAAAAGCGATTCATGCTTGGATATTACCAGTGTGAAGATTCTAAAATGGAATAGAAAGGCAAGAGAAACTTGGCAGTTCTGAAGGAGTTTTGTCTTGCAGTTTTATAATAATTGATGCTGGGGATGGTGATTAATAAGCAGAAATTTATTCCAGGCTGTTGTGTTTTCCAGTTAATGGTAGCCATCCCCTGTGCTTTATGATCCTTTGCTTTTTAAGTGCACAGATCATACCAGGATGTAAAGTAACTGTCTTTCCCATTTCCACTGATGATCACTTGTTCTTCAGAAATCTTCAAAGAAGTTTTTCTTGGGTGCATGCAACAAACTAATTTCTCTTTATAATCAGGGTTGTTCCAAACCAGATATCTGGTAGACTATTCAGTGTTGATGATGTTTCATATGTTTTGTTTTGTATTAGTTTCTTGATTACTGGCTGCCAGATTTTTGTTTGCTTGTGTTTGGGTTTGTTTTTAACTACTGACCAATAGCTTAGCTTTTCATTGTCTAAAGCTATGATTCCCCTGTCATGCAGACACTTACTTTTGTTCTTGGATAATTCAGGTTTTTCAATTCCATCTCTAAACTTCCCTTGTTCTTTTGTTATTTTTTGCATCTACATTAGCATTTTTTCACCTATTGCCTTACTGCTTCAGTATCTTTCGTTGAATTTTTTTCTTTCCTCGTGTCTCTAGGATGATAAAATTCCAGTTGAACATTTACTGGATTCATTATTTAGGAATTGGGAAATACCAATAAGCAAAGAATACCTGTGCCTGGGTGTTACATGATGGGCAGAGATATTTTTCTTTGTAGGTATCCTCCACCATTTAGAATTTTACCTCATATACCTCTCCTTTAAAAACTGCTATCAATTTTAGAAATTTTGGTAGAGATTGGTTGAAAGATTGTCAGAAGGTAGAGCTCCAACCATAAGCAGGCTTGTTTTGTTATGCCTTGGATAAGGCCTCTTGAAGCCAAGGTGTCTAGCATATACTCAGTCTTTGAAGGTGTTGGAGCTTCACCTTATCTCATAAAGCATTACTGAAGGGCCAGCCAAAAGGTATTGACAAGAAGCATCTGAACAGTCAGCTGCCCTCTTGTATGCTTTAGACAGCAGATCGCATATGTGCATGTTTGTAATTCCTTGCAATACTGTGTTGGTGAAAATAAATTCTCAAAACGGAATGTATTTTGAATAAACGTGCAACAAAAAAACCCTAAACTTCTATGCATTCGTCCTAAACTTTAGCAGCATTCTTTGATATGTCTCAGTGGTCACTCTCTTGCTAGTAGATGGACAAAGCTTCATTGGCATAAAATGTTTGAGCAAATATGCTGTGTGATATTCCAAACTATCTATTAGGAAATTTATACTTTACATGCAAACATCTGCCCAATCCAGTCCTTCAGTTTCTCTGCTTCCACGAAAACAAAACTCAGTTTATAGTCTCTCTTATCAGTTTCAGGCTGATTTAAGTATCCCAGTAACTGCCACCGTGTCCTTTAGCATTTCCTTTGGGCAATCAAGGCTGACCTAAAAGCTAATTCTTCTGTATCACATTCACACTTTAAATCTCTATCCCTTCTTGATGAAAGGTTTCACTCATTACCTATGAACTCAAGGATGGGCAGTGGTTAAAACACTGAAAAAGATATTTTTGTTTTTTGTGTGTGTGTAGAGTTGAAGGAAAGAAGGAAGAGTGGGATAGTGAAATGAGTACTACTACTGCCACTTTAAGGAAGAACATAGATCTTTGAGTATGGGCAATTGTACTTGTCTTGTGAAATGAAGTATTGCAGTCATCAATGCAGTATTGCATTGATGAGTAACGCAGCCTACTCTAAGTGAGTTTCTTAATTACATTGTTACTTATGCTGAGTAGTGTATCTTTATTTTGTTGATCTTTCTGGTACTTCTATTTATATTGGGATTCTTTTTTCAGTGATTCACAAACTTAGTTTCAGCTGTGCTTGTTAATAAGAGGTTTAACTTTTTTGTAGCTGACAGATAGCATTAAAATAAAGTCATAGGTATCTCATGTTTGATCCTTTTATTATTTTTCTGTTTTTAAAACAAAACACTTCTTTCTGTGGGACTGTTACATACACAAACAAAAAATAGGGTACATCCAGTTTAGAATAGGAAATAAAGCTTTTCTCACAAATGCTTTCATTGGTAGCACTTTGAATATGTCCTGGAAATCCTGTAAGGTTTTACAATAAAAAATTTACAACTTTACTGTAAAATTCGATTGCTTATATACTACAGTTTGTATGGGACATTTCAAGTACTATCGTATCAGTTTTGACATTGCAATCCTGAATCTACAGTGGGGATTATAATCTAGCATGTAGGTGAAACAAATTTTTTCTTTTTTTTTTTTTTTAAGATCAGCTCCTCAAAAGTCCAAATGTTTTATGTTATGAAAAGGACTAATCTATAGAACTGCACTTTAATTATTTTTCTTATAGTTGTTCTTTGAAAGTAACTTCTTTATGTATTAGTTCATAGCTTTATTTAAGTTTCACTATTTTTATTCAAAACTCCATTTTCAAAACTGAAAATGAACAGTCTGCAAATGAAAATGTGACTAATAAATACAAATTCTGACTCCTATACTTGCATTATTTATCTACCCACATGGTTTTACTTGCATGCTGTGACAGAGAGATAAAGTAAAAATTACTGGTATGTGCTAAACATGTTCTTCCAAGTGACCTCCAGTTAGGAATGCTCATAAGAAAAACTTCCTAGACATCTGAATGTGTTGATTACACGTGTACTTACTACACACAATTATTGTGCTTATAGGAATTTCTTTATTTAAAGAAAAGTAACTAAATTTGTTTTTTTTAATACATCTGTTGCCTGTGGTGTTGTTTTTTTTATTCCTAGATCTTCCTCAGAACTGTGATCCTAACATTCCCCTAGTTGCTCAGGAATTAATGAAAAAAATGATCCGTCAGTTTGCGATTGAGTACATTTCAAAAAGTAGCAAAATTCAAGAGAACAGAAATGGTTCATCCTTTGAACCAAGTCTCATATGTAAAAGTATCCAAATGAACCAAACGGAAAACTCCCTTCAGGAAGAACAGGATAGCCCTCTAGACCTCACTGTGAATCGAACTCAAGAACAGAATACTCAGCAAGGTAAATTTCTGTATCTGCTTATCTGTGTTTTGCTGTCATTTATTACCTTATGTCTTATTCTCTTTAAAAAAAAAAAAGTGTCTGTGTCAAATATCTATAAGTTTTGTCTTTCCAAACTAGTAATCAGTATATAGGGAAAAAAAATTATGCTATGTGATTAAAATAAGGTTTAAGGAAAATTGGCATTGCATCAACTTAACACTTAAAGGAAACTCATACATTTTCCTTTAAACACCAGGTAAAATGTTATAAGATAACTTTAAAAAAAACCACCACATTCTTTCTAGAAACATTTTTCATATTGCGTGTTAGCAGATAACACAGGCACTCATAAATGAGAATATTTAAGTGGCACTGGAATTTCTCAGCTTTAGAATACTGAATCTAAGTCAGCTCACCTGTGGTTGTCACAGGTAACAGTGGTTCAAGATTTTGTTGAAGAAATGGCTCTAAGAACTGCCTTCTGAGAAAAGAGAGATACTGGAATTTCAGAGAGCAAAGGTCATTCTGTCTGTGTGAGCCCTTAGACACTTTGATTCTTTAAATACAGACTGGTTAGAATGGTGGAAAGAAGCTTTAATTTAGGAGGAAATTTCCATACTTCGTGCCTTAATCATTTTAGAGCAGTGCAACTTTCTTAATTGAGAGTAAAGCTAGAAAAATAAAAATCTGTCTCACTATCATTTACAAAAAGGAAATAATTTCTTCACCTCAAGGAATATTGCTATCCAAAACTGGTAACAGTAGAATCATAAGAGTGTTTTGGACTTTGAACTTGATTTGGATTAGCAGCTGTTTTCAGGAAGGGTTGTAACTGTCATGTGTGACTGAAAGCAGTGGCAAAAGCAGCATTTGTCTTTTACAGATACAAGGGTGCATGTTAATCCAATGATATTGCAGACCAAAGGGAAAAGTTTACATGTATGTCACATATCATGGTAAAAAAGTTAAGAGAAGGTAGAACTGCAGAACTAAGTCTTTAAAAAAAAAAAAAAAAAAAAAAAAAAAAAAAAAATACACTGGTCATAATGAAAGCAGATTTCATATGTGTGTGCTTAATGATGCAGTCATTTAATTAAGTGACACATCCTTTTGAGGGGGGAACTCTGACATGGATTTACCTTGCTAAACATGCCTATTCTAGCTTAAATTTTAAGCATCCTTTCTCTTTAACAGCAGAAGCCTTAAGAAATTGTGGAATTCCTGCTTTTATTCTGCATGGTCAGCAGAAACCAGTTCATGCCTGGGTTTAGCAAATACCTTGTGCAGATTAAATCCTGAGAAAATATCTGTTGTGCTTTGACATACCTCTGCTATGGATGAATTACAGATTTTAGAGATTTACAATTGGCCAGGTTGAAGTATGTTTCTTTTGCAAGGGCAATAAAAAGTACTTTCCTGATAATCAGCACTATAGCCTGTTGCTTACTTCAGCAGCTGGTTATAAAGAACAAGTAGTTTAAAATGTCTGTGAGGGAGCAAAGTCCCCAAAGACAGGTTCTGGTCCTCGTTGAGCCCACATAAATCTAAGGAATGAAAGGGAAGTCAGAGGGTGAAAGGGGCAGGGACGGGAAGAAAGTTCTGCCCCCAGCCTCAGCTATTTGAAAATCCATTGATCTTTTGTCGAAGGAAAATTTAAAGTGTCGAGAGGTTGAGGTATTTAAATCTTTTTTTATATCATTTGAATTTCTTATAATGAGGCTAAACAGCAAGTTTACAAATGTGTGTCTTCAGCAAAAAATCTGGGCCTAAAGTAAGTGCTCAGCATGCATAGTTTACAATGTAAAACTTGTATACTGTGTAAGATACTGTAGATTCTCTGAACTTACACTGCCATGTTTGCTGGAGTGCTTTGCAGATGTTAAAGATAGTAGCCTTGCTGTGAAGTTTAGAGCTACTGAAATGAAAGGAAGTATTGAAACAAGACAGTAGCTGGAGAAAGGTTTCAAGCCATCTTATCTTATCTACTAGGGAAGTTGTATTGCACTTCCCATTTCCCATGAACATATCCATTTTGAGCTTTCTAGCTTTCTACTGTAGTGGTAGCAACACAAGCAAATAAGATCAAGACAGGAAAAGTCAGCCTGCTCTTTTTATTTGCATTGTGTTCTAGGTGCAATGATTCATGAAAAGTTCTTTCAATTAGCTATTGTCAAGGACTATGTATTATTTTTCTACCTACCCCTCACTTCTGTCCTTTTCCCAAAGAAAGCTTAGATATATTGAAGTGTTACATGCTTACAGTAGGGAATTGTAAAATTTTTTAAATTGTATTATTTTTAAAAATGCATTATTCTGTGTTTAACATAAGTCAGTGTGGAGACTCGCAAAAGCTGTAGCATGGTTCCCTTCTTAGTAGTGTCTTTTAATAGTTGTGCAACTCTCTTTATTATTTGCTATTTGTAATTCCTGTTACAATTTCCAAATGAAGTGGCAGTAGCAGAGTAAGAAGTTCAAATTTGTACATTGCTCTGATGGATCCTCAAAGTTGAAATCTTTTTAATTCAAATCCTGTGAAGCAGATAATGACCTAAATATAAATACTTCAGGTTCATTTTCTGTTTAGGCAGGTGCTTTGTATTTATAGTAGTCATCTTTAAAATGAATGATCTAAATAATAAAATAGTCTTGTTCTTTTACTGTGGCAATAATTCTTGGACTTAAGTTGAGAGGATGGAACAAGGTTTATTTTCCAGATCGCTAGAAGCATTCTTCTTTTTTGCACTGAGCAGATTTAAGTTAAGTGCTAGCTCAATACTGAAAAAAGATTCCACCACTGAAGATGTCTGGATGATCTTATCTTCATTTAAGAAAACTTCTTAATTTCCTCCAGTATCTGTGGGCCATCTCTGAAGTACTCCCAAAATATTCAGGTCTGACACTTCCAGAGCTGATACCCCTGTATATTGGGTTTACATGGCAAGGTTTTGGTAGCTGGCAAGGGCTGTAGGGGTGGCATCTATCAGAAGAGGCCAGGGGCTGCCCTGTGCTAGGCACAGCCAGCTCTACAGCAGACCCACAACAGGTGAAAGTGGAGCACATCAGTGAGGTTTGTGGTGCCTCTGTGGAAACATATTTAAGAAAGAACAAAAATTCTGGACAGGCAGAGGAGTGAGAAACAGCAGGGCGAACAACAAGGTCGGGGAAGGAGGTGCTCCAGGCACCAGAGCAGGTCTTTTCCTGCACCACATAGAGAGGACCACAGTGGAGCAGGTATTCCCATGCGGCTCATTGAAGAGACCACTCTGGAGCAGATATTCACACTGCAACCCATGGAAGACCCCACATTGGAGCAGCTGGATACTTCCTGTAGGAACTGTGGCCTGTGGAGAAGCCGCAATGGAGCAGGGGAAAAGTGTGAGGAGGAAGGAGCTGTAGAGAGGACTTGTACTGACCATAACCCCCATTCCCAATTCTGCCTGCCCACCTGGAGATGGGGACAGGTAGAGGAGTTGGGAGTGAAGTTAAGCCTGGGAAAATGTGTGGTGGGGGGGTCCTTTAATTTTTGTCTTTTTCTCATTATGCAAATCTATTTTAATTTGCAATAAATTAAATTTTCCCCAAATCTGTTTTGCCTGTGATGGTAATTGGTAAGTGATCTCCCTGTATTTATCCTGATGACCTCTTTCATCTTTTCTCCCCTTCCCTGTGTTGAGGAGGGGGAGTGAGAGAAGGGCTGGGTAGGGTACTAGCTACTGGTCAAGGTCAACCCATTGCACCCCTGGTACTGAATCATTCAGTACTGAGTATTTAAGCACTGGCATCCAGGTATGTCCAGCTGGCACCTGACTGATGGCAGAGTCCCAAATTATGCTCTGCTTTCTTCTACATGTGGAAGTGTGGTAACTTAGCAGGGTGGTTTAATTCCTGTGCACCTTGCTGGTAACTAATCAGGCAATTACTTCACTGTCAATCAATTAGAAGCAACTGTCTCCAGAAATACCTGTATTTTGCTCTTTTTTTTTTCTAATCCATTAACTCTAAGACTGCCCAAGCCTTGAAAAGAATACTCTGTATAGCAAAAGAAAATTTGTTTTACGTGCACTGCATCTAACAAAAATGGGGTGGTATTGTGTATTTTTGCAATATGATTTGTCTTCCAAACTAAGCCAATGAAAAAGCAGCATCCGTGCAGAATAAAACATTGAGTGAGGAACAGTCTTGGAATATCCTGCAGCAACTTACTATTTTCTTGTGCAGTCATGATGCCAAGCTCTTTGGGGAGTGTTCCCAGCAGCAGCCAACTTTGATGCAGAGGCTTCTTTCCCTTGATAGATACGGGAGAGTTGATCACTCTCAAGCTGCTAAGCAAAGTGATTTGCAAGAGGCAGAAGTATAAACTGTGCAAATAAATAATCTGTTTAGCCACACAAGCTTATTCTTGTTGCTGTATCTTCTAGGAAGAAACATAGCAGAAAAATGCAAGAGAATTTGCATAATTTCCTTGTTTCATTGATCCATCATAGATTGGAAGACATCAGAAGGTAGCTGGCAATGTGTGACATTTTGCTGCCTGAACTTTTCACAGCTATCCCGTAGCTTTGTCATTGTTGTTGACTGTTATTGAAGAAGTAAGAAAAATAAGGATAACCAAGTCAAAAATTCTGTTTAAATGATTTAAAATAGCATTTTATTATCCAGTTTAACAATGTGCATGTGATTTCACCAAAATTTGTAGCAAAATAAAGACTTCTGAATAATGGACCAGAATTTGGAAACAACTCAATTTTTGAGAAGTGGTTTCATATCTCTTGAAAATCCACACTGAAGTTATTATAGCAACTGGGATTACATCATGTGTGGCCTCTTGATTGCTACATTCAGGGCTACTGAAAGAATTCCAAACATTACTGAGAATGACCTTTTATTTTTGTAATATACTGTTCTTACCATACGTATTGGGCAAAAAACTATGCTTTTTGAAGGTACATATACCTTGTCAGATGCTTGTTTGCTTGCGCCCCTCTCAGTGGTACAGGGGAGAAAATGGGAAGAACAGGAAGGAGAGCTCACGAGTTGAGATAAGGATGTGGTCATTGCTTACTGCTTGCCATCATGGGCAAAACAGACTCTGCTTGGGGAAAATTAACTTAAGTTATTGCCTTTTAAAATAAATATTTAATTATTAATTCAGGTAGTGGAAACAAAAAGACACATTACAATACCACCTTTCCTCCCCCCTTTCCCTGGCTCAGCTTCACTCCACCTTCCCTTGTGACTACCACCACCCCTGTGGTGTAAGGGAAATGGGTATGGGGTGTCAACAGTCTGTACCTAATGGTTTCTCTCTGCCATTTTCCTCTCCCATTGGGTTTCCCTCTGCTGTTTTCTCATTCTTTTTGTTCCCTTTTTCTCTCTCTCTATCTGGTACTTTTTGCCCTTTCTGAAGTATGTTTTCCCAGAGGCTCTGCCCAAAAGGCTGCTGGGCTCAGCTGTGCCCTGCAGTGGGTCTGTTGGAACTGCTTGAACTGTGTCCAGCACAGGACAGCCCCTCGCCTCTCCTCACAGGTGCTGCCAAGCCCTTGCCATGGACACCCAAAATATAGCCATATATCTTTCATCTGGCAGTTTTTCATTTTACAAAACAGCACATTAGGTCAGCAAAAAGGGGCTAGTCAAAGCAGTAGTTAAGTAGCTAAAAGGCTTTTGCATTCTTACTGACAGTTCTCTGAAAATATTTTTCCATGGGCAACAGCACAGAAAAGAGCCAGCAAAAGGCAAGGCATCATGGGGAAAGGTGTTGAAGACAAGACAGTTTCATTTTATTGCTATGAAAAACCTTATTAAGGTTTACCACAGTATGATGGATAAGGTAAAGGGAGAGTTGTTACTTACTAAATCTCACAATATTAGAACTAGGCAGGGCTTGCTGAAACTTCTTAGAAGAGAAAAACAGATAACAGCTGCTTTTTGCACAGCAGTTTGTGAACATCAGGAAGTGCTGTGATAGGAGGTTGTGGAGATGGACAGCATCACTGGGTTCAAAAAAGGCCTTAGGCAAAAGCCAGAAATTAAAGCTGGAGTAGGCAGGGATGAACCTCTGAGATCCCTAATCCAATGCTAGCAGCTACTGGGAAAGCAGGAAAGGAATGAGCTGCAGGTAGTGGCCAGGCTGATGTGCTCTCCTGTGGTAGGAGTGGAGTTTGTCCCATGACTGGAGACTGGGTAGAGAAGGTTGTCTGACCTAAAAAGGTAGTTCATAATAGCTAGTGAGAAGGTTCCTGAAGCCCAATAAAAAACAGAGAAGTTTGCTAGAATCAGTACAGAAATACCGATTGTAGGTACTCAAGGCTGACTCATACAGTTTCTGTTACTTGCTCTTCCCCCTCTGTTTCTCTAACATCACTAGTCTGGAGGAGTTTCAAGTGATTGTGGTCCTGATTATTTTGAAGATGACCTTTGATTACACTTAGTTATATCTTGATATTGCTGCACCTGATGATCTGGTGCTGAGAAGCAAAAGCCAGAGGTTGAGCCATTTCTTTGAAGATCAAAATCATTTAATTTGCAGAGAAATAACTTCCTTAGAAGACCATGAGCAGCAGACCTGAAAAACTTCTAATAATTTTTTTTCTATATTATCCGGTGTTACATAGTATTGTTTATGAAGACTGTTGTTTTAGTAGTCATGGCTTCATCTGAAGAATGGGAGTAATTCCATGTCTTTAATTAAAACCACCTTATAGAATGGGTTTTCTGTTCCTGATGTTGTTCAGTTCCTGTCTAGAATTCTTGCCTAAATACCCGTTTTGAGTGATTTGATAGAAAATAGAAAGTTCTGGTTCAGTTTAAAAAAAACCCCATTCCTACCTTGCAAGTAACAGGTTTTCAAGGTTCATTATCCACCTGTAGGATGCTTTTTTGCAAACTTTTTGGTCCTGTACCTAATGAACCAAGGTGAACGTCTCTACTGTGTATATATACGTACATGCATTTTATTAGGGAGCATTTCATTATGTCTTGAAGCTTTATAGCAAATGCTCTCACTTTCCTACCAATTATAGGTGCTCCTTCATTATAATAATTGATACTGTTACAAAGCAGGAAGAGCTACCAAAACCAGGAGCTACTGTGTATTTTTAATGAATCTTTTTGACTTGTCAGCCCTTTCTGCATCAGTTTTGGGGGTTTTGTGGTGGTGTGGGGTTTTTTTGTTTGTTTGTTTGCTTTTTAATTGGAGCAAAATCACTGAATAAAAGCCTGGTGTGTGGTGATTTTATCTGGTATCTTGTACATATATCAAATTTCTTGCATGGTTCTCTTTCACTCTTTTCACTGAGGATCATCTTCCCATAAAGCATTGTCTTCAGGGAGGTGTCATATACTTAATGAATATATTTGCTGTGTTGGAGAAACCAGCTGTCTTGAACCCGAAATGACTCTTCATTCTTGTTACCTTTTGGAGGACCAAAATGTATCTAATTTTTTGTTTCAGGGGCCTGCATTTTTCAGTACTGTGTTCTTTTTAGTCATTTTTCAACTTGTTGGTGGCCTTGTATTGTCAAAGCCAGTTCTGAAAGATTGGAAATGAAAATTGCTTTGGTTAGATTTCATTATGGAATCTTGCAAGAGGCTTTGGGTTTTGGTTGTTAGGTTTGGGGTTTTTTTTCCTAAAAATCTAGTTAGCTTCAATTTTTTTGTAGATTGAATAGAGATAGACGATTAGCCCTTCATAACTTGATGAGTTGTGAACTTTGAAGTTTTTTTTCCAGTGAGTTAGAAGAGATCACTGGACAAAACCTTTTTATCGTAGTGCCTGTGAATATCAACTGAAGATGGAGAAACTGTTGTGAAAGGGAACACACAAACACTTAAGAAAGGGAGATGTATGACTGACAGAACACAACAGATGAAATCTGTCTGTTACAGAGGACTCAGGCACATTGTGAGCTTAGGGATTTGGGATGTTTTACAGCTGGGTAGGCCAAGTAGTCCCTGTAGAATATTTCTGTAGTGTTTTTAATTGGCTGTTCCTTCTGGAATATCACTGCATCAGAAGGGTTGATTAACATTAACTAGTCCTTCCTTTAACTTTCTTAGAGTTAAGGAAGACTTTGAAAGGAACATAATCAGGAGAAAAGGAGCATCTTTGACAAGTGGCAAGTTTATAAATATTTTTCCCTTATGCTCACTTACGATGCTACTTTTTGTCTCTGCTCTTCTTCAAATAATACAAAGTAGTTGAGGAAAAACACTAAAAATCTGTTAAAACCAGTCCAAAACAAATAGCTGCATTTATTATTACACAAAACTGTATTTCTGTGCAGTATCAGTATAAAGGACAGTTACCCTAATAATTTTTTTGACTTCTTATTCCAAGTGTTGGCATTTGGATTATTCAGCCAATGCATCATGTCTGCATCTGAGGCTGTGGGAAAATATATACAGTTAATTGATGTTTTAGAAATAATATGCAGTAACATGAAAATGACACTAATGTAAAAAGGGCTAGCATAAGGTTGCTTGTAGAGTTGAATGTTGAGCTACATGTTGAAACTCCAAATTGGATTCACAGAGCTCAGGCACACAAAACAGCCCAAGTTTGAAACAGTGATCCAAGGAAGAAAGTTATAAAATTAAATATATTTAGGGGATTTATATATCATTTAAATGTGATTTTAAAAGAAAAACTAAAAGGACTATTTCAGGTGCTAATCAGTTTCTTTAATTTTCACTGGTTTTAAATATTGATTTTTTAAAAATGCATTTTTCTATTTCAATACTTTATAAACTTTAACAGCCAACTATAAATCTTAAATTTAACATTTGCCAGTGACTTAACAGAGTGGACTCCCACCCCAGTTTAGGTCTTTCAATTTCTCTGGTTTCATTATTACATACGTGTGGGGGCAGCAGGGGGAATACGTACGTATAAGCAAACTATTAGAACCATTAATGACATAGGTCTTCGTCTGCTTAAAACTCTATAATGGGCTCAAGCTCTCTTCCCAGTTACTGGGGTCTCATCCAGTAACCTAGTCTGGTCTCATAGCTGACCCTGCTCTGAGCAGGAGGTTGGTCTAGAGACCTCCTGAGATCACTAGTAGCCTGAATTATCCTGTAAACCTATGATTTAGTTATGTCAATTTTAACTTCAGTATCAGGCTTGTTTGTTTACAGTATGTAAATATGAGTATATGAATAATAATATCAAGTGTATTGCTTTGGTTGCCTTGAAAGTAAACAGTGCAAAATATATGCATATGTGATTTTTAGGAAGGCAGCCACATGTTTCTGTTCCAGACAGACTCTTCTTTCAAATTCTATTATTTCTGAATGTGGTTTTTTTTCTTAATTTTAAAAAGTTTTGTTACAAATCAAATGTATAAAACTATTTGCTGACGGCTGACACTGTTAAAGGAATAAGATGTCAGAAATTTTACATGATAAAGTAACTGCTTAAAAATTGTGCCATAGGTACAAACATTTGCTAACAAAATTTTTGGGATCATCCTTAAACAACTGCTGTCATCACTACTCGTTCTTTGCAGGGGATGGAGTGCTAGATCTCTCTACAAAGAAAAGCGCAAGGTTGGAAGAACCAAAATATGATCCATTGTGTTCTGAAAACTCGGTGTCTGGGTAAGCAACGTTTAGGACTCTCTTTGGCTTATGTAAAAAAGACAATCCAGGTTTCTCTTCTCTGAAGTCAGGTTTTATGTTCATAACATATTTGTATATACTGACACACACATGTGGTTCCTATTTTGCTTTCAGAAGAATTTTTGTCACTCATAAGTGTGTGTCTATGTATATATCATATGTTTCATTTGTCTTTTTCCTTTTTTTCTGTTTAAAGAAAAGTTATCAGAACAATCACCAAACTTTAGTTCATGTTACTAAAAATGAACTGAAAATTGATTGCATAACACATTAAAAGTAATAGGATAGTAGAAGAAAATGTAAACATATTCTTTCGGAGTTTATTTAGGAAACTTCAATTTTGGACAAAAATGACCACGTTAATATTTAGATTTAAAATATTCTTCAACTAACATGAACAAGTTAAATGACTATTATCTATAACATTCCTTAATAAGAGAGAGAGAGAGCAAGCGCGCGAGAGAGAGCTCTTAATCATCATACTTATACTTACATCATGGTTCTGACTATGGTGTGTGGTGGCAAATGGTTAAATTTCTTTATTCAGCAAGAAAAATGTTATTGGATCTGCTGAAAGCTACCACAAAACCAGTGAAACGCATTGTTTTGTTGGATTTTTTTTATGATCTTGGCATCGTCCCATCCACTAGCCATAGCAGGACCCTTTTTGTCACCTGTACGTCTTACCAAATAACTTATTACAAATAGGACTACGATAGCAGTATTTGTTGAATGATGTAAAATTGCATTTTATTAATTTGCTGATATGAAAAAGTTTTAAAATGAGTATGACTTTGTAATTAGAGAGCTGTAAATAGTGGCTAGAAGTTTTTAAAACTGTGTTTTAATTTCCCAAAATGGACTTGATTGTTAACTACAGCACTTTATCTTATTGTTGTAGAAAGCCTAGTTTTGTGTAAGTCTGGGATGTTTGTGTGTAGTTACGTACTTATTGCTGCAAATTTTCTATGAGGGGGTTGACTCTTTTATTACTTGTTTAGCGGTAACGTCACGTTTCTACTAACAAAAACTCCTTCAGGATTTGGGTATTTAATGGAACGTTAATTGTATAATTAAATTTATAACAGTGTTGCTCTGCAAGCATGTGAACAAGGGAATATAGCAAGCACATGAGAATATTATCAAATACTGAGCTAGGATATAAAGTTCTTGGAAGGGCTGCTGTAGAAGCCACCGTATGATTTTTGACGCACTGTCCTACCAGAACTGTAACATTTTGCTAGGATAATCATTTAACTACCACATCTCAAAGGCTTAAAAGTATCAGAAGCAGTGATGTTACCGAAGCAAGGAGTATAATAAAGGAGTGGACCCTTCCCTTCCATAGCTGTGTGAGAGTCTCTCATACATCAGTTTACCATCGTTTCATTCCATCCATCCAGGAGACTACACAGACACAGAGAGGACTATGTGGAAAGAAGTGCTGAGTTTGCAGATGGTTTGCTCTCAAAAGCTTTGAAAGACATTCAGTCTGGAGCACTGGACATAAATAAAGCAGGCATACTTTATGGCATACCTCAAAAAACTTTACTTCTCCACTTAGAAGCCTTACCAGCAGGAAAGCCTGCACCTTTTAAAAACAAAACTCGAGATTTCAATGATAGTTATTCATTTAAAGACAGTAAAGAAACTTGTGCAGTCCTACAAAAAGTAGCCTTGTGGGCAAGAGCTCAAGCAGAGCGCACAGAAAAAAGTAAACTCAGTCTACTTGAAACCTCAGAATTAAAATTCCCAACAGCTTCCAGTTACCTCCACCAGTTAACTCTACAGAGAATGGTCACTCAATTTAAAGAAAAAAGTGAAAATCTACAATATGAAACTTCAAGTCCTACTGTACAATTAAAAATTCCTCAGCTAAGAATAAGTTCTGTATCCAAACCACAGTCTGATACTGCTGGTCTTCTGGATGTTATGTACCACGTTTCTAAAACCTCCTCAGTCTTAGAAGGATCAGCGCTTCAAAAATTGAAAAATATACTCCCTAAACAGAACAAAATTGAATGTTCTGGACCTGTAACTCACTCAAGTGTTGACTCCTACTTTCTGCATGGGGACCTCTCTCCTTTGTGTCTTAATGCTAAGAATGGGACAGTAGATGGAACCTCAGAAAATACAGAAGATAGTTTGGATCGTAAAGATAATAAGCAACCAAGAAAAAAACGTGGCCGCTATCGGCAGTATGATCATGAAATAATGGAAGAAGCAATTGCAATGGTAATGAGTGGGAAAATGAGTGTTTCCAAAGCACAAGGAATTTATGGGGTACCTCACAGCACTTTAGAATATAAAGTAAAAGAGAGATCTGGAACATTGAAGACTCCGCCGAAGAAGAAACTCCGATTACCAGATACTGGCTTATTTAATATGACAGATTCAGGGACTGGCAGCTGCAAAAATAGTAGCAAGCCTGTGTAGAATAATAGTTAGCAAATTGTTTTGTGTGTGTGTATGTATGTCTGTATACACACACAGTGTGAGAAATACATATGCTCACTCTGACAGAAAACGTGAAATTATACAGTTCAAAAACCACATACATGCCTTTTGAAAAATAGTTTTATTCAGGGTTTTCACTGTGGACAGAATTATAGAGTTGCTCACTTAATTCTGATAGTGTGTATTTAATATAATCCTTGTATAAATAGGTGAAAAGATTCAGGTTTTATTTAGTAGTCAATAGCATAAAGATGTTTTGGAAAACAAGTATTTGTCATGTGAAGCATAATTTTTAATTGGTGAAGAACCACTCTACCCATTCAATAATCCATCTTATTATGGAAATACACAACCAAGGGTTAGCAGACTTTTATACTTCACAGAATACTTGCAATAAATTGTAAGTAACTCAGATTATACAAAGCAAGGGATTTTTTTAAAAAGCTAATTCCTTACAAGGAAGTGGATTTGTGAAGTATTAGTAGGATATAGTACATTCTGTGAAAGAAAAAAAGTTCATCGTTACTTAAGTATCCAATACAAGTAAGAAAAACATTTCATTACTAAAATGTGTGTTTAGCAGGCATAAACTGCATTTTTTATCATTTTAAGAAAATTTTGTTGTTGGTTTAGAAAGAAATTGGTGTTTACAAAGTGTACACTTATGAAACCTGAGAAATTACTGTAGTTATAGAATTATTAAATATGAAATAAGATGGAATACTAAGAGCATAAAATAATTTAAACTTTAACATAATTTTCCTTTTTAGTTTGACAAATAAGGTAACTTGTAAGGTTTAAAAAGAAAGTTGGAATGCAACTTAGAGCATGTTCATAATGTGCACAGAATGAGCTTGAGAATGGTTTGGGTTTGTTTGGGTTTTTTTGTTTAAATGTGCTGGTTAGTTGATGTTATGACTACTTAAAATTTATTTAAGGATTGTGTCACACTCCTATTGAAAAACCTCACTGTAACTGTAATGTATTTGCTGCTGTGACATTTCAAAACATTTTCAGTTTATCAAAATGAATACCAAGTTACATTATCATTTTGCTAATAACCAAATTTGCAGTTCAGGGTCTTGATAGAAATACAAATATTAAACAGTGAAGCTGTTTTGAACTTTCAGTAATATAAATTCTTTATAAATTTGGTAGTTAGAAGTTAGGCAGTTCACTTTAAATACGTAACTTTTAATAGAATTTAAGGGAGACCAATTACCTTCATATTGCAGTTTTTACATGAATTTCAAAGTATTCACATTGGACTTGATATCATACTTAATTTTTTTGTGTAATATCACAAAGTATATGTCTACATATGAAGAATGGGGGCTTGCTTCATACATTCAATACTGAACATCAATGCCCTTTTCCTCTCAAAATGTAATTTTTTCTGTATGCATCTAATATGGCATAGAAAAAGACTTTTCTCCAACTTTTGTACATTTGGTGCACATGCATACATTTTTTTCCCCACTTAAATTTGCATGTGTATAGGTTAATTATATAAATGAAATGGGACATTAGCTACATATGGGCCACATCAGGTAATTTGATTTATAAACTTGCCATTAAATTCAGTGGAGAGCATACTGCAATGTCGATGGCAAAATCTAGCCCATATTTATTTAACGCTACTGAAAAATAACAACTTCCATTTTAAAACAGAATAATGCTTTGAAACTGCACAACCAGTGTCTCAGTTCTTTGGTCTCTCAGATCTATACTGAATCTTCTTCAGTGATTAAGGTTTACTTGCATATTACAGAATGAATCCTTTTCTTAAGCAGAACTGTACCTGATAACAAGGAGGTCACAAAACAGCAGATGTCAGGGTCATCTTTTATTTTAAAAGAATTAAGCCATATTTTGTGAGGGATGGAAGGATTAATTTGTGAATACATCCTCACAGAAAAATGAAGTTGAAAAAACCTTAAATGTTTCAAGATCTGTCTTTATACAGTTTTACTTGCAAAAATTTGGGACTTCAATACATTGCCTAATATTTGTACCATACTGATGTTTTCTACTTCTCAGACAATGTTATAAATTTGAGTCAGAAGTTTATATTGAAGGCGAGTTACAGTACTCTTTTTATATCATTTAAAAGATGACCTGACCAAAAAATTAACAGGATTCATAAAATCAGGGATCATTTTACTATTGACTTAACAGTACTCAGTAGTTTTGTATGTAATATTATAATTAATTTTCAACATTTTAGTACTTGTATTTATTTTTTGGTCAGAAATAGTATATTAAAATATTTTTTGATAGTTTATAGATGATACTCAACCTGTAAGTGTTTAAAGGAACAGAATTATTTGTTTCTAATTATTAGGCTAACCTTTGATTACACAACTAAGGAAAGGCAGGGAAATGTGTAAATTCTCCTTCCCCAATCCCTATGTATTCCATTAAATGTCATTTAAATTACACATTTTGAACTGTTTTATAAATTCAGTTACCAGTCACTACTTAGTAATTGACAATTTCTGAAAATTCCTGTTTCAGCAGAATTTTAAATGAAGGCGAAAGCAAGCCCTACATGCTTTCTACTTATTTGAATGTTTCTCAAGTATTTTATATTAAAAAACAGTGCCTCTGTTTTTAGAACTACTGCTCAGTAAAGCTGTTTAAACCATTTCTGGTAGCTAATGACAATTTTATATTAAATTGTATATTAACTTTAGTGAGACTGATTTTTTTAGTTGTTTACAGTACAAATACTTGTATTTGTTTTTTAATTGCAGTATTTCCATTGTCGCAGTAATTTAGTAAAACTCTGTGGCTGCCTTGATTTTTGACAGATTTTTGTTAACAACTGATTTTTAGGCAATTAGTTATATTTATGCATAAATCAATTGCACTATAATTCATGAATTATTTATTACAATATTTTCTAATGAATTCCATGTATTTGTCTTGTGTTGTAAATGTACTGTAATTCTGTTTCTTCTTTGTGTTGTTATATTCCTAAATCTGATTGTATGAATTTAATTGTTTAGTTAACGTGTTTCTACGTTGTAATTTGTAGTAAAGCACTTCAATGCTTTTGCACATAAATTTACAACACTGATGTGTGATTGATTTGCTCATTCAGTAAAAAAAAAAAAAGAAAGAAACGAAAGCCTGTACACTGACTCATTTGACTTACTCCTGAGGCACGTGTTTATTAGCAGTGACATAAGATCAAGAACTGTACAAACTAAGCACATAAGGACTAATTTACTATGATAATTTTATATATCAGAAATAGTAGCTTTAAGAAAGGATGATTTCTCAGAATTGATGTATTATTCATAAACGAGAAGAAATTCAGAAAACTAATTTTATAACAATTACATCCTTTAGTTTGCAGCTAAAAATTATCTATTATATATTACAGATAATATATAGCTTTTTTTGAGGGATTTATTTACTAAGTAAAGTCAAAACCCAAACATTTCTATAAGACAAAACTTCTATAATCGTTCTCTGCTGTTCATATCAGTACTTGAAAGTATGTTCTGTTCCCAGTTTTGTTCCTGTTCCCAGTCTGCAAAGAAGTTGCTAGATTGATTTATCTTGTCTGTGGCTGAGACAACAGAGGATAGAACGCTAGGGAAGGACATCTTTTAGGAGTCCTCTGATAGAGCTCTTTCCTGATAGTTTTTTGGATTTGTGGAGGAGGCAAAGGTTTACTTTTTTATACATAAAATAATAAGCTGAAAGGCTAGTATTTAACCTTATCATGTCTCTGCCTTTGTGCCAGTTTTGGACTCCAGGCAATCCCCGCTCCATGGTATTAACTGCCCCTGCCCTCCAGCAGGGAAATAATGTCATTCCATGCTTAACTTTTGTCTTCAGAGATATTGTGCACAAAAGGTAGTGGGGGAGCAGTGCGTACTGATCCTCTCACCTTTCAACCCCTCTATTTCCTAACCCCTCTCGCCCTCTTTTTTTGTAGGAAGTGTAAGACTGTTCTATGAAGGGAGTATGCAGTTATGAAAGTGATAGCTCTTCCTTCTATGAAATTATTGTGTAAGCCTTTTATCTTGAGGATAGTCTAAACTACTGTGTGACAACACAAATTTAAAGGGCCATAGGAAGGAATTACAGGAAACTGAAATATAATTCCATGATTGTATTGAAAGGCTATTAAAAAATAGTTTGTTTAAATATATGGACAGCTCTACAGAGAGACCCTTTAAAGAAAATGTGTTGCTTTAATCTTTGTTTGCGTAATAAGCTCTGTTCCCAAATGGTGACCAAGTAAAGGGTTGATGTGTTTTCACAAACTTGGAAGATCATTTGGAATGTGGTACTATTACAATAGGCTAGATGAAGTTAAGTTGTCTGTTAGCTTTAGAAACTAACACATGCCTAAAGGAAAGCAGATTATAGATGTTACACAAGGGCAGATAACCAGGAAAGAAATCATATTAGAAGGATATCCAGTATGTCTGTGATAACCAGGATATTATTACTTTATGCAACAGGTTGATCTCCACATAGCAAATTCAAAGCAGCTTGGGGGCCTTTGGAAATTTTGGTTACTGACTTTGAGAAGGCTTCAGGGCTCTGGAAGTTTTTTCCACCAGTGAGCATATTTTAAATAGCAGATATGGATAGAGGTCCTCTACAATTAAAGCTCTCCAGTGAAACTCCATTAGACATACCTTGCAAGTCTAGACAGACAAAGATACCTGTCTAGAGATTTGGTCTAAAAAGACTGTACTATAGCCATCTTTTTAGCAAAATCTATGTAACACACTTACTGTGATTTACAAGCAAAATATTGAAGACTGAGTGCCATGTTCATTTTTTTTTTCTCTCTGGCCTTTCAGAACATTATTTAATTAAAGTCATGGTGGGGAGGGCAATTAGTTTTTATCCATAATTGTATTACTAGAACAAGCTTTGTTTTCACAAGCATAGTGATGCATTTCAACACCTCGTGACTCCTGAGTTGTTTGGACTGAGTAACACTCAGACTCTTCTCAGTGAAGTGGTGTTTCAAAAACAGTTAAATCCTGACAATGACATGCCCTTGAATAATGCTGTTTTTACTTTAGATTGCAAGTGCAAAGAGGGTTTTTTTTCTTTTCAAGAATTCAGTTATTTCAGTTTAAACATAATCACAATTTCAGCTAGTACCATCACAATTATCTTATGCTTTTGAGTCAGTACCATCTAGCTGCTTGATTTTGAATATATACTGTTTCGTACTAAATATTGCAGGAGAAGGAAAAATCGTGAGGAATTATTAAGCATAGTTGGCTGGTTTTAAGCTCTAAACTTTAAAATCCATGTAGGACAATAAGAAGTATGTATAACTTCGAGTAAGAAACCTGAAGCTAAAAGTTATTATTGATGCTGATAACATTGGATATGAGCTAATTAATGAATAGGTAACTTTATATAAACACAGCACATTAAATTTTAAATATGTTTGTTCTTCGATCAATACAGTTGTAAACCCAATCAAAATTCTATTTTTCCAAAGTACAGGCTTAAATGCAAAAAATTACAGGAGATAATAGTAGGGCAAAAAGTTAGTGTCATGTTCAGAGTTTGGTGATATGTTTAAACAATACATACTTTTCTAAAACAGAATTCTTCTAATATTTTCTGCTCATGCAATTGGTTTCAGTAAAACACTTGAATTAGGTATTAACTATCTGTTGATAGTTGCTATCCAGCACAAGGATTTGTATTTAATTGAAGAAATATCTGTATTAATTTCTACCATGGAAAATTTTCAGCTTTTCAATATAAATGATTAGGTAAGTAGTGACATTAGTTTTAATAATTTATAAGAAATTAATTAAATAGTTAAGGTAGTATTTTATAAGTGATTTTATTTTGAATTAATATCTTTGAAAACAACTGCTCAGAAGTTGTCTTTAGATATAGGCCTACCCTGTATTTGAGATTTAAAGGATATTAACCTTTATCACAGAAGTTATTTATTCCAGTGATGATTATCTCTGTTTTTGTTTAATGAAGAAAACCGTGTGTGTGTGTGCACGCACGTGTGTGTGTGTGTGTAATATATTGCAATGAAGAGCCTGTGATGCACCGCTGCAATTTATTGAAAAACTAGAAGGGAAATTTATCCACAAAGAACAGTAACAGTAGCAAGTGGCTATTTTTTCCATTTTCTGTTAGCCTATTTAGTGTTCTTTAAAAAAAAGTATATAAATAAAAATGTCTTTAGAAGGATCTTTAAGAGTATCCTCAAGAGCATTCAATACAATTTGGTATATAAATATCTTAGGGTGGGATTCAGGAGAGATGGATCCATTCTCGCCTCTGCTACAACCTTGTATTGTGGCCTTAGGCAAGTCATTTATCCGCTCTGTGCCTCAGTTTGTGAAATGACAGTAATACTAAGCTCCCCAGGTTCTTGGTGAGGTTTTCCTTCATTAGTGACTAAGGTAGTTTGAAATATCAGAAAGTTAACATTATTGTAATTACATTAGATACGAGAAGCTATGTTTCGAACTATTCTTTTTGTCCCTTAATTTCTTCCTGATTATTTTTCTTATGGTAAGAGTATCACTGCTATAGATAAGATGCACATCATTGCTAGTGACACTTGCAAGTATGATTGAATAGTGCAAATAGAACAGAACTGTTTTGCAAACTTCAGGTTTCTAGGCTTGAGTTTAACCATTATAACAAACATTAGATATGGTGTTTTACTGTAATTTATATTTTGTTTTGATTTGTTTTCATTTTCAGTTCAAGCTCAACAGCTGATGCAAATTCAGAGGAAACAGCTAATTTGGAAAAAGGAAAATCAACATTAAACAAAGTTTTGGAGTCTTTTTGTTCATATCACTGGCAACAGACTTTGGCTATGTTAAAATTTTTAATACAAGATGAAAATGTTCCTATAGTTTGCGGTTGTAAGCAAACACATTTGGTCCACTCTGAAACTCCCAGTTCCCTTACTGAAGAGGATGTTCACATTTCATTTTGCAATTGCAATGGACATATGCTGACAAAAAGGTGCTGTTTACAAAATCAAAGACCAAACACTTGTTTACCACCTCTGTCTGTTTGTATTAAAGATTTCCATTCTTTGTCATGCCAAGCTGTAGCAATTGGATGTATTAAGACAATGGTGAACAAAGCATGTAGTTCTCATAAGTATTGTGCTGAACAATTGCAAAATTGTAACAGGCATTCTGTGAAAGCAGCAGCATGTACATATTCAACTAAGGACTCTGATCTCTTGAACAGCATTAAAAATTCGAATAGATCTCGCAGCCCATCACCGCCTCCACTATCACCTGTACAGAGTAAAGAATTTGAATCATCAGAAGGATCAGTTATAGATTTTCCAACTTTAGACAATAACAAGCTTGAAATATCCATCAGCCAGCCTCCGTCCCTCTTGCCAGCTGAAGGAAGCAAAGGAGAATTTGAATATGAAGGTAAAACATGCAGAGGAAAAGAGACCGAATATTCAGATGGAACGTTGCTATCAATAGACCAAGAAAACAACAATTATTATATGAATTCTGAGAAGGCTGAGAAAGGTGAACATTCTGCCATTTTTCAAGATTTAATGGACCGTATTAATGAAAAGTTAAAATCAATAGACACTACAGATATAGCAACAAATCTTGTAAAACTTTCTAGCAGTGACAGGGCACCAGAAAATGATGTCAAATTAGGAGACTTCATAACCTCTCTTTTGCATAGTGCTAAGGCAAGTGATTACAGCTTTATGGAATTACTTCACCAACATGATAAACAAATGGAAAATAAAATTATCCAAACAAGATTTCGCAAGCGTCAGGAAACTTTATTTGCAATGTATAATTCTCCTGATTCACCACTCATTCGACGACAGTCTTTGCAAATCAAGAGGGAGCTTGCAAACCTTGATGAAACTCTTGTAAGAAAAAAGTCAATTTCTGAGAGAAATGCAAAGAAATCTACAAAGAAAATTGATAAAATATATCCAAATAAAAGACACAGTTTTACTGTGATAGAAGATGAGGCTTTGCAACATCTTGAAAGTAATCCATGCATGAATTGCCAAACCAAACCAATGTGCTTTCCAGTACACCAAACAGAGTCTTTCAAACTACCTCTTCCTAATTTTCAGACTAGCTCCAGCT